TGACAATGTAGACAAATCTATTTAACATTACACGCTCAAAAGCCACTTTCACTAAAGGAATAAGCTGGTGACAAAATTTCCAAAAGCAAAAAACGCAGATGAATCTTGATTCGCGGTGAACTACTCTAACATGTCCAATACGAAACCTCTCAGATAGCCTGAGAGTCGTCCTCCTATTGATACAAGCGTGTCCTAAACGCCTGATAATGTCTCAGCAAAACCTCACAACTTCATTGTCCGTAAAGGTCTAAAACGAGGAATGAATCGCAAAAGCAAAAAAGGGGAAAAAACCCACCGAGATTCGTCTATATGCTGCAGACCGCATTACGCGGAAAAAGATGACAGATGCGTATAGCGTCAGCATCAGTGCTCCGATTCCAAACACGATCATTATCCAGTAAAAAACTGATGGCGGATGGTTCGATGTCATCTGATAGCGCACCACTGTAAAAGCGACTTTAGCAGCTCAAAGGACAAATGTTGATCCGCTTACCCTTAATTGGTCGCGCTTTAGCTTCGTCTTCTTCAAATCCAGAAACAGGGTGTGTGATGATTATGGGTGCTCCATTTGGAAGCATGTTGCCGATTTCGGGACCTAGAATAATCCATACACTTGCTTCAAAAAGATCTTGAAAATCTGAGACTAAATAATAAGATAAAACTCAAACTGGGCTCTTTTATCTATATACACAAATCCTTATCGTTACCACTACTTATTGTTGGTACCACTACTTTCTCGAAATTCCTGACCGCAATACAATTTCCGCTTTAGCAACGCGAAAGCGTTGTGTGACGCTTTTTACAGCACGAACTCGTACAACTTCGCGATTTAAAACATGATGCAACGAAAAGCGAACATCAACTGGTCCTTCGTTCTTAAGTTTTCACGATTCGCTTATAGACACACAATAAGGAGAATCTTCACCAAACTAAGCAAGCCTTCTTACAAGAAATCAGGACGGACAACGAGGTAGGGTTAAGCGTGCACAACATGTACTCAAACGTAAAAGGTAGCAGATTGTAGTTCAAGTATTAGAGTTATTAATCCCTTGG